AAGAATGACTTGTTTTCACATAAAAATACTTTCTTAAACATAACTGCACTGCAATGCTAAGCCAACTTTCACTCTAGAAGAAAGCTAAAGCCCAGACCTCCTGTGAGCTACCTCTCTGCCTCGGTTTTAATCAACCAGATCCCCAGAGCCCTCCCAGCAGAGCCGCAGCCTTGCCCACGTCCCTTCCTTCCAGACCAGTGTCGTTCTTGCTGTGAGAGCCCAGGGCTCCAATGGCCTCCGTGGCCCCCGGCGCCTCTGCTATTAGCTGCTGTAGCTTCCAGCTGTTTTGCTCCTCAGAGGGTAACATGCATCAATACTTTGCGGAGAAGGCACCTCAGTGTTAACGAATAGAAAACTAGAGCCTTCACCTTGGCCTCTGCAGGCACCTGAACGGCACGTGAACAGATTGCAGAAGCATGTTCCCCCTGGGCACCAAAGCCTTAATTAGGGGCAAACCCCAACGTGTTACTCAGCTCCTATGTGCTCATGTACAGCAAATGCAAAAGATGTGGTACATGAAACAAGAGAACCAATTCAAGTGACTTCCATTTCTATTTATATTCATATAGCTCAAGCTTGGTGCCAGGTACTATTTTAAGCAGTTTACATGTATTAACTTATTTAATCCTCTTACTATAAAATCCCCTTTGAAGTAAGTACTATCATAACCTCCACTTACAAGTATGGCCGCTGGACTAACTTGCCCAAGTTCACACAGCCATGGATTTGAACGGGGGCAGCCTGGTTCCAAGAATCTGTGCTTCCATCCCCATCCGGTGAATCTCCACGTGGGCACCCAGAATCCACACTCCCACTTCCTTCAGAGACGGTTGCTGTGGAGGTCATCCCAAGGCACTGACTAATTCGGGAGCGAATGGCTGGTTCCCAGAGCAGCTGACACCTTCCACCGGCAGCGGTCTCGCATCACGCAGAAGGGAGAGCTTCCTGCAAACTAGTCTCACCCAGAGGTGCGCGTGTGGCCAGCAGGGAAGGGGGCCATGCTGCGCTGGTCACTCCACACTCTCGATGCTGGGGCCACGGACACAGTGTCCTCCCTCGCTGTCTTCAGTCTCCACTCGCACAACAAGGTCTGACCCGTGCTGACCCTCACCATTTCTGTTTTGTTTTTTAAATTCTAATCATTGCCTTTGTGTGTGTGTGTGTGTGTGTGTGTGCACGCGTGCGCGCGCGCGCAAGGTCTTGAAAGACCAAGTAGGAAGATATTCAGAGCACATATACATTTTTTCTTCTATAAGTGGTGTTTATTTAAATGCTTATATCCTGGCTTCCCGTGTACAGTTGTGAGCAATACCTTTCAATTTAAATGTTAATAGGAGTGTAAACTTCAAAACCAAGTTTTCCACGTGGGAGAAGGGCTTTTTCGGCTTCTATTTTATGGCTTTCCTGGTCCACCCTCCCTCATTATCAACCCCCGTCTTGCCCGCCCCTTTCCACCATGCTCAACTGCATTCTTTTGCTGAAAAGTTTAGAATGCACCTTTCTTCAAAAATTAGCATGTTAAACCTTAGGGTCACAGACCACAGAAAATGGGCTCCCGCCCAACACGGTTCGAGAGGTTTTTCTTTATCTCAGCCTTAGCCTGCAGAGTTCGCCTCCTTATTCTGAGATTTTTCTAAAGGGATTATTTGTAGGCCGACCCTGCATAATATTTTTCTGGGGCTTCAGATAGGTTTTAGGTTTTCTTTCATTTATTTTTTTTTTCCTTCTAAAAAGGCAGGAAGAGGCAGGAAAATAAGTATGAGCGATGTAAGTTCCTGGAGGCAAAGTACTGCTGTGGGCGCGGTGAGCTGCCAGAAAGACTAGAAGTGGCAGTTTTTTCCTTCTGAAGAGACGACGTGGACACGCAGGGCAGCCCGGGTGGGCAGGAGTGGGGCCAGCTGCCGCGGGACATCCCGTCCCAGGGGCACAGCGGCCCCTGGGGTTTGCCCAAGTGCAAACAAAAAGCATGAAAGATTTTAAGACAATGAAAATAATATCTAATGCCTTTAAATGCACATATGGCCACTGTGCTGGCCTCCGTAAGGAACTCGTGGACTAAATTTTGTGTGTGAGTGTGTATCTGGCTTCATGTTTCTTTTATTTCTTTACTTTCTCTTTCCTTCATTTCCTCATTAATTATGTTTGTCCTGTGGTGCTGTGTGTGGTTCGCAAGCCCCCTTTCATCTTTTTTGGGGGAAAAGGATAAGGCTGTTAATCCACAAACTGGGGATGATTTTATAATATAAATTTCAGTGATTTTTTTATTCTGTTATTTTAAGAGGTTATTTTTGTTCTCTGGATAGTTCTTGTCACTAGTACCCTGTTCTTATTTCATGAAGGCAAACTGCATTTCTTCTCCTGCCTCTCTGGGTATATCTATCATATTTTTAAACTGTTGTTTCTTCTCCCTGCCCAGTGATTCCTCAAGTCCTTTTTCTCCCAGGTTACAGGCTTTTCTCAGAAACCTGATGATGGCAGGTTGCCTCGTTGGGGTGCCAAAGAGCTGCCTGGGAGAGTTGGGGGTGGGCTTCACTGGAGAGCGGCCCGGGGCTTCTCCAGGGCAGCCCCGGGGCAGGGTGCGTGGGTCTTTCCCCTGGCCCTGGTCATCCCTACAGAGGCCTCTCCCAGCCCCGGCTGGAGGTCAAAGGCCAGGCAGTAGCTTCCGGCAGCCAAGCAAAGAGGCTGGGGTCTCAAGAGGAAGCATTGAACATTCTGCATGTGCATAGCCACGTAGCCGCCGTCTGGGCAGTGACCCTCTGCTGTGCTGGCCTGAACTTGTGGACCCCCTGGCCTGAGTACTCACACTCCACCCTCAGGGATGGGGTGAGGATGGGGGAGGGGATCTCGGGGCCTGGTTCCATCTCAAACAGCCTCTACCAAATCCTGGTTTCTGTCCTCCCCACTGTTTGCTTGATTCAAAGGAACCCGGTGGGGCCTGTTCTGAGCCTCCGGCGGGGCGGGGGGCGGGGGGCACCGGGCAGGTTGGTTTCAGCTTCCCAGCTGAGGACTTTAGGTTGGGCTCTGAATCCGCTAAATCAGTCACACTGTCCATCAGCTTTTGTGTTGTTGTCATCGTCTCCTCTCCTATTTTTTCCCCTATCCTTATACATTTCTATCTTAAAGAAAAATCTCTTACCTTGGGAGGAAGAGATGCTAGATACATTTGTGCACTCTGTCAGGATAACCCAGCAGGTCGCCGGCGACATTATGCATTCCATTTTCCCACACAGCTCAGCCCCACTCACTCTCCTTTCAGTTCCTTGGTTTGAGACTGTCAGTTATCTAACTGCTTCGGCTCTTTGCTCTTCTTAACTGTAAGACGGGACTATTTCTTGTCACACCTACCTTCCAAGTCATTGCTGCAGCTGCTGAGTTACCACATGGGTTTTAGGTTGAAATAAACAGCTCCGGCAAAACCAGGCTCCCAGGGCTAGGGTGAGTCTCCTCCCTGGCAGTGGAAATACTCAGGCCTGACCTCTGGCTTTCATCCTTCTTTCCAGATCAGCAATTTCGCACGACCTCTGCTTTCGTTGACACGGCCCTTTGGGAGACAGCAGGGAGCACTGCTCTCTGGTAGAGGCCCCAGCCCCTCCCAGACCGAGGCCACAGACTTTTGGAAGAGGGATCACCTTCTCCCCATTTCCCTTCCTGCTTTCTCCTCTTTTTCTTCTAAGTAAAAACGCTTGGCTCTCCTTCTCTGATATCAAGAACCTTCCCTCTTTTTCTGACTTGCATTTCCCCTTTCCTGCCCAGTCCTTTGCCCTGTGCCTAACCCAAGCAGACACACCTTACGTGACACTTTATCCACTAGCCCCTACCCTTCACCCCCAGGCAGTACCTTTACTCCCGTGGGTCTGCAGAGCCGGGAACAGGCAGGCCTTCCAAGGAACGAGCCAGGTGCTGCAGGGAGGGGCTCTGCGGCGTCAGAGGGCCGCTGCCTTTGGTGCTGGCGCAGGGGCCGTGACTTCTCCTAGAAACCCTTCCTGCAGCGAGAGGGGCCCGTGGTTACACAAGGGTGTAGAAAAGAAATCTCCAACCTCCTTCCCAGTGAAATACCCAGCCTCTCTCTTCCCCTGCCCACCATCCCATTGCCCTTGACTATAGTAGAGCGTGGATGAAGCATCCGTAGCAAAGACTGAGCCTTCTCCAGGTGTTAGTGAGTGAGGCTCACCAAGGCGGGCCAGCGCCCTGCCCTCTGCCTGGCGCTGACAGTCCCTCCTTTCCAGACAGCCTGCCTCCTGCCGGTACCCCCCCTCCCCACCACCCCGCGCTTCCTCTGGCGCGGCCAGTGAGGCCTGGAGCAGGAAGGGCCTGACCCAGAAAGCTGCGCTGGCCTGGCGCGTGGGGCCTGAGAGGGTCTGCCCTGGGGTTTAGCCTGAGAGCGGAGGCGAGGCTCCCCACCCTGCAGCCGCACGCGCTAGGGAAGCAGAGCCCCGGGGGCTGGCTTGGAGGGCAAGAACCTGGAGGCCGCAGCCTGCAGCCACATCCTGGGGAGACCAGGGAACCCCAGAGGAAAGGGAGGGAGCTCTCGGCAGGTGGAGCCCGACTGCCCAGACACCCCCACCAGCTGAGATGTGGATGAGACCGAGGCTGGGCATACAGATCTGGGCCCGGTGCCCTGACCCACCGCTCACTAAGGTGTCTTGGTGTGAAGCAAGTTACTCCGTCTTCAAATAGGGATAAAACAATACTCGGCTGAGAAGGTTGTTAGGGATGGGGGAAGGACAGTGCTGCGCCTGGCACAAAGGAAGCATACAAGAAGTGACAGCTAGGATGACAGTCTCTCCCTGTATGCAGGCACCAAGCCGCCTCACCGCACTTTGCAGCCACCACGGGGCGCCCCTCCACAAGGAATCTTCGCGCCCACCTTTCTGAGAAGGGCTGGTTCCTTCCTGCCCCCTGCGGTGCCCCACCTCGCCCCCTCTGCCTGGGGGCGGGGGGCACCCCGACCCTCAGTGCCAGGCTCTGACGCTAACTCTCGCCCTCCTGCTTCCCCGCAGACCTGCGCAGGATGACGGCCGGCTTCATGGGCATGGCAGTGGCCATCATCCTCTTCGGCTGGATCATCGGCGTGCTGGGCTGCTGCTGGGACCGAGGCCTTATGCAGTACGTGGCAGGGCTTCTCTTCCTCATGGGAGGTAAGGCACGGGCGGGGGGCTGCGGGGGGCGGCGGGGTCCTGGGTTCTGGGGTGCTGGGAGAATGGCTAGGTGCAGGGGAGATGAAAGCTGCAACTCGGCTGCGGCTCTACCCGTTCGTTCATTCGTTCGTTCGTTCATTCATTCCTCAAAGGAATTTTTTAATTCTTTTTAACCCCTGGCCACTGCACTAGCTGCTGGGGATGCGGAGACTAATAAGACGCATACGGCATGGTCCTTACCCACAGGGTCAGGCTGCCTGGTGTGGGAGAGGCTGTGCAGCCGTGGCATTGACGGAGGTCAGACCCCGAGCGAGTGTGAACCCAGGAGATCCTTGCACGTTTTATACACGAACTAGACTCCAGGGTTGGAAGCAGGCGCTGTCTGGTTACTCTCTGTTCCCACCGCAGCTATAGGACCACTGGGTCCTCACCAAGGGATTGTTGGTGTGGAGGGGTGTACGGCTGTGCAGGAACAGGTCCCCGTGCACCGGAAATAAATGTTAGTCAACACTCGACATGTGCTTCCCTTCTCCCTGAAGAGCTACAACGTGCTTTTTTGGTCTCCCGGTGTGAGTCTCAGATGAAAGCGGAGCTAACCGTGGGGAGTGCCCGTCCAGTCTGCTCCTCAGGGGAGAGGGGGTTGAAGAATGCGCAGAACGAGGCAGTGGGGGCGCTCGGGCTCGGACAGAAGGAGGTAGAAATCTGTATAGAAAGAAAGAACTGTGAGTCCTACCGTTGGACACAAATGTCAGTGAGACCTCAGGCACCACGTGCGTCTGCCCAGCTCAGGTCCCGTTGGGAGCCGCCTGGCGCTGGGTCTCCCAGCAGAGGAGGGGCTGAGGAGCAGGTCAGCTGGGGAAGGAGGGGCTGTTCCTCCAGCTGTGCACAGGCCTCTGGGGGCATGTGAGCGCAGGCCTGGGAGAGGAGGGAATGGCAAGATTTGTCCCAAGTCTGCCCCGTCGAGTCCCACACTGGATGGCAGAGGCAGCTGGCGGGAGGGCCCCGGTGGCTCCCTCTGGCACAGAACCAGCCCTACTGGCCTCTTCCCTGCCTCGGTACTCGCTCCTGTGCAACAAGGGGTATAGCTGACGTCTGAACGCTGTTTTAGTAGCAGCCAGATCCTGTTGGCTTCCACTTGCAGTGGAAATCTTGCATGGCCCTCGAAATGTAAAAAGATAAAAGTGGAGGGGCTCTGTTTGCAGTGAGAGGTCTCGCTAAGACTCTTGGTTTTACAAAGACAGGCCGCAGGAACACGGGGCTTTTCTAAGGCTCTGGAGAGGTCTCCCAGGAATCTGAGAAAAGGTGAGCAAACAGGCCGAGCAGGAATCCAGGACTGGAGCTCTTGGAGCTGACAGTCTTTTGCCTCCTGCCTGTCCCAGCTCCCTGAACACTGCTCCCCCCGCGCCCCACCCCCGTCCCCCGCTCTCTCCAGGCCAGGCACGGGGCTCCCGTCTGCCCAGGTGCTAGGGCTCCACCTGTGGACTTCGACCACTTCCTTCTGGGCTGCTGAAGTCAACTTCCAGAGACTGAATGTTACTGCCTTATGGACAGCCCAGCTGGGCAGCTCAGACGCAGGGAGCCAGGGCGGGGCCCACTCAGGAACAGAAGCTCTGCTTCCTCCACACCTGCCCAGCAGAGGGAGCTACCCCATAAGGCCGGGGTATCAACCCAGAAATGACGCCTTGACCTATAGAACTGCATGTGTCAAAAAAAGACTTTTCAGCCCCGACCCCTCCCAGAACCTGAGCAGTCCCTGCCCTCCAAGAGCGAAGCTTCTAGGCTGAGCTATTGAAGAGCTCGGAGAGGCAGCCACCTGTGACAACCATCTCATGGACACAGCAGAGCAACCCGCCTCTCGAACTAGAGACCTTCATGGTAAAGTGTGACAAAGCGGCTATGGCCTCCGCCAGCATGCAGAGTGGCTCTCAGGCATGTGTCACTGAGGACAGACAGGTGCCCAAAGGGCTAGATGGGTGACAGGTGTCCTGCTGTTGGGGACCAACCTCAGCAGTGCGTGGGTGTGGCCAGTCCTGGGGAACAGGTGGAAAGGGAGGGGTTTGCAAGAATGGCAAAGGTAAATTTGGAGTCAGGAGTCTGAAGACGGAGTTGAAGCTGACTTTTGATGCAACAACCAGGGCCCAAATGAAAATGGAAGGACTGTTCACAGCCTGTTCACATAGGAAGGAAGATGGCGCACACCGGGTACTTCTCTGCTCCAGATTTAACTATTTCCCTGGGCTACAGAGCGCCCCACACCTTGTGAAATAACTAGCAACAAATTGTTTAATTAACACTCAGCCCAGAGGAGGCAATTAAGTAGGGCAGCTTTGTCGAGCCAGGAGGCTGGGGGTGGTGGGTGGGATCCAGTTTTCCCTTTGGCAGCGCTTCCAGGGGAGAATCTAGCTCAAACTGGCACAGCACCACTCGGGTGCCAGCAACTGCCAGAGACGAGTGTCTGGATGAATCATCAGTGGCATTCAGAAGCGCAGGGGTAGGATGACGCGGGGGAAGGCCGCCTGCCGAGGGAGCGTGCGGCTGCTGCGACTACTCGCGATCCACCGGCCGGGTGAGCCTCAGAGCCGCCCCACGCGCCCAGGCCTACCAGGCGACTGTGAGCAGCAGCTCTGGCCCCTCCCCACCCTCCCGTGCTCTAGGAGGACATGCCACCACCCGGCCCTGAGCCCCATGAGCTCTTGTCTAGGCTGCAGCCTCTTCTCTGTCCCCAGCAGTCGGTCCTTCACAGAGCAGTTAGCATGGTTTTTTATTTTTAAGTCCAAATTCCTTTCTCTTCTTTGGACGCTATCTCAGTCCCCTTGGGCCGCTGTAACAAAATGCCACAGACTGGGTGGCTTTTTAAATGACACGAATTTAGTTCTCACTGTTCTGGAGGCTGGGAAATCCAAGATCGAGGCCCCAGACCTTCAGTGTCTATTGAGAACCCAGTATCGGGTCGCAGATGGCACCTTCTTGCTGTGTCCTCACGTGGTGGAAGGAGCGAGGGACCTCTCTGGGGGCTCTTTTGTGAGGGCACTAATCCCGTTCCTGAGGGCTCCACCCTGGCTATCCACAGGCCGCACCCAAATCCATCACCTTGGGGGCTAGGACTTCACCGTTGGAACAGTGGGGGGCACACCAACATTGCCTATAGCAGGAGCCTGTGTCATCTGGCTCGTGCGACCTCTCTCACCTCCTTTCCCCTTCCTCCCCCCACACTCACGTCACTACTTTGTGTCCTGGAGGCTGCCTTTGTGTCCTGGAGCAGAGAACGTCACTTCAGGCACCAGGCTGGCTGGTCCTTTTGCCCATGGGCTTTTCCTGCCTGTGCCTCATCGCCAGCTCCTTCCTAGGACTAAGACTCGGGGCGGGGTGGCGGGGAGGGGGGGTGCGGTTTCTTAATGAGGTCACTCTCTACACCACAATTTAATTTTCTGTGGCACACTCACTACCTTCTGAAATGTTTGTTATGGTGTTTTGGTTTTAGGTGATTTTTTTTTTTTTTTTTAGCAACTTAAGTTTGGTATTTATTCTCTCAAAGTTTCTGAGGGTCAGAATTCCAAGCAAAGCTTAAGTGAGTTCTCTGCTCAGAAAACAATCATCAGGGCATCAGCCAGGGCTGGGCGTCTCGTCTGTGCTGGGACCTTCTCTCTCCCAAGATCGCGATGGTGTTGTCAGAACTCATTACCATGCAGCTGTAGGGCTCAGGCAGTTTGGTTTTTCAAGGCCAGCAGGAGAGGGAGTCTCTGACTTTGTGAACTTAAGCTCTTTTTTTTTTAAGATTTCATTTTTTAGCAGACTTTTAGGTTTATAGAAAAACTGAGCAGGTAGTACAGAGTTCATATTTTACCCTCTGCTCCTGCACGGGGCTTTCCCTGTTATTAGTATCTTATATTATTGGGGTACCTGTGTTATAATTAATGAATAAATATCGGTACCTTATTAATAACTAACATCCATAGCTTTCTTGGATTCTTAGTGTTTAGCTGAGGTTCTTCTTCTGTTCTAGGGTCCCAGGCAGGATTCCTCATTACATTTAGTTGTCGTGTCCCCTTGGCCTCCTCTCACTGTGACAGTTTCTCCAACCATCTTTGTTCCCGGTGGCCTCAACCGTTTTGAGGGGTGTGGGCCACCCACACTGTCGGAGGCCCCCCGTCGGAGCCTGGTGACGTTTTTCTCCAGAGGAGCCTGGCTTCTGGTTTGGGAGAGGAAGATCACACTGTCAAAGGCCATTTCCAGGAGATCATTCCAAGGGTATCACTGGGATCTGTGACAATTGATGGTGACCTTGGTCTCCTGGCTGAAGTAGTGGGTGTGTCAGGTCTCACCCTTGTAAAGCCACTCTTCCTTCCCTGTTTCCGTTCTGTCCTCTTTGGGACGAAGGCACTGGGCTCGGCCCGCGCCTTGGGAGCGGAGCATTTGGCTCCCTCTCCCTGGGGATGGAACAGCTGCATCAGTTGCTGGGAATCCTTCTATGTGGGGGATTGGTCTCTTCTTCCCTATTCATTAATTTATTCAATCATTCATTTGTGTCAGTGTGGGCTTGTAGATATTTATTTTATACTTTGAGCTATAATCCAGGGCTGTGTTTCTTTTGTCATTCCGTCCTTGGCCATTGGGAGCTCTTTCAGTTGGCCCCTGTGTCCCTTTGACACTTTCCTCTCAGTGTGGGATTTGTGTTTGTTTGTTGTTGTTTTTGTTGTTGCTGTTGTTTGAATGCTTAGTTTCTGGCACTGTGAGGTGCTTCAGGCTCATCCTGCCTATTTCCCGCCCCCATCCTACAACCAGCCCTTTCTCCAAGGGGCCCTGGATCCTCTTACGGGGCAGTGGCACTGGAAACCGAGATCTGGGCTCTGGGTGTCTGCAGGTGTTTAATGTGCTGTATTTGTCCACTGACTGACCTGCCCCCACCCTGAAGTAAAACTCCGTGGGCTCCAGAGCCCGTCTGCCTCGTTCTCCGGGCGGCCCTGTGACCAGGACCGTGTCTGTGCTCTCAAGCATCCGTT